GAGACCCTGTTTAGCAAAACCAGGTGGAAAACTCATGTAAACTTCTTAATGAAGATCTTCATGTAAGTAGGCATTGTGAACATCCATTTGATAAAGATGCCAGCATTTGATTGCTGCTAAGGCCAAAAGACACCTGATGGTTGTAAACTTAGCAACTAGAGAGTAAATTTCAAAATAATCCAACCATTCTCTTTGAGTATAAACCTTGACAACAAACATTGCTTTATAGCTTTCTATTGTTTCATCGGCCTTATATTTGATTTTATATACCCATTTGCAAACAATGGGATGTTAATCAAATGGTAAAGAGGTAAGTGTCCATGTGTTATTGTCCTGAAGAGCTTGAATTTCAGAATTCATAGATGCACACCACTCGAGATTTAACAACCTTATGAGAAGATTGAGGTTCATGATGTAATGAAATATTAAGAGCAAAAATACGATGAGCCGAAGACAATCTTTGATAAGACAAATATTGAGAAATATCATGAGCTATACCTGAAGAATTTGTGCCAGTTGTCATAGAGGCTGAGTTGGATGGTTGACAAGCAATGAGCTGACAATGATATTCTTGCAAATAACCAGGAGATCTTCTTGTTCTAGTGGACTGTCTGGCTAAGGCATGACCAGGAGAAGATGAAGAAGAATCAATAGAAGGAGAAGAAACTGATATTGGAACAGAGGATGTATCAGCATCAGAGATGTTGTCATTTGAAGGAAAATGATCAACCAAAAAAGAAGGAAGAACCAGAGACTCTTTATTAGATGAAGAGGATGCATCAGTAGATAATCAGGTAATGTTAAGAACTATATCTGGTTTTTTAAAGCAAGAACCATACTAGTATATTGTCATAATAATGTTAAGAACTATACTGCTAATTATCATTGTAGAAGTAAGAACTAATTAGTAATAATATTAAGACCACCTCAATCATACATAATAGGCAAACTATATTGCCATAAACGGGTTAAATGGGTCTATAATGGGTTAAGTCGGATTCGTATCCGAATTATATCAACCTGTTTAAAATATAAGGGTTAATCAAATCAAAATCGGGTTGACTTGATTTTTACATGAACCCGACATGATTTTTTTCATGATTAAGCGTGTCGACCTATTTTAACCCATTGACTCATTTAATTTCTTGTTCAACTCATTAATTTCGTGTTTAGTACGTGTCGTGGCGAAAATTGATAGCGCTACTTGTGCTATTGGCATCTGTGCAGTTGAGAATTTCCATTAAAAGACTTCTCACCACTTACTTGCCCAATTACTATGAGAAATTGAAGTAGAATTACCCTTGCCTTTTGTAAAACGACATCCAGACGGATAACCATGCAGCTTGTAACATTTATCAACGGTATGACCTAATATTCCACAATGAGAGCAGGTAGATCTGGATTTGTTTGAACCTTTACAATTGTGTTGATATGTTGAAGAGTTTGTTCTGCTCAAAAGTGCAGTGGAATCAATGCTTTGAGGAGGATCAAAAATCACAATTTCTCGTTGCCTTTTCTTCTTGAGGAACTAAGGCAAACACCTTGTTGATTGAAGGCAAATGCTCTTGAAGCAAAATCTGGCTTCGTATATGAGAAAAGGAATCATTCAATCCCATTAAGAACTAGATGATATAGTCCCATTGCTGATAATCAACTAGAGTCTTCATTGCTCCACATGAACAATTAGGCAAAGGCCTATAATTCATCAATTCATCCCAAAAGCCCTTTAGCTGAGTATAATATGTGCTTACAGAAAGATTAGCCTGTGACAATGATGAAATTGATTTCTGTAATTGAAAGATGTGTGGACCGTTTGTTTGAGAAAATTTCTCTTTCAAATCCCCGCAGATTTCCTTGGCTGAATCACATACAAAACACTCTTTGCAATTTCTTTCGACAAAGAATTCAAAATCCAAGATATCACCAATCCAACGATGAAACCTGTCTTGTTCTTGGCGCTTAAAGCCATGAACATTGAGCGACTCCATGAATTGTAATTCTCCTCTGTTAGTGATTGAGATACTAACATAGCTCCAGGACTATCTCCATGATGAAGATAGAAAGTGTGAGAAGAAGTAGTAGAAGAAGAAGTCTGGCTTGCATTGGAAGCCATGGATGAGAAGTAATCTTGCAGAAGAAGCTTTTAGTTAAACTCTGATACCATGTTAAGAAATGGGAAATAACAGAAATAGATGAAGGAAATCAAATGTATTTCACACTTTGTAAATGTTTACAAGATCAATATTTATACAATGAGACACCGACTCTCTCTTACTGAATTTTGTAGTTGCAGTTAACTCTAACTCTAACTAACAGAATGCCATGGTTAATAGAACATGACCTAATTGCATTACCACCAACACTCAAACTATTATCAGATTCGATCGACTTTAGAGAGACAAAAAGATGTAATCTCACAATCTTTTCAGAAGTGTGTTTCATCATAACCACACATCTTACAATTTGAAGGCGACCTATTCATAGAAGAGGTAAAATTTGAAAAATCGACCCTAACACACACACACATACACACACAATTGTACATAAATTAATGTTAACATAGAAGTGTTGTTGTTAAAGTTATAACAATTAACATGAAATTTTTTATTTTTTATTTTTTATTTATAGAGTTTTAGCGTAAATTTAGAATTTTTCAAAGGCACCTTTGGGAGACCATTCACTTTTTGCAACAAACAATTATTAAGGACAAGAAGCCAAAGTGAAGTGGACATATAAACCAGAGCGGAGTCACTGAAATTTTAAATAATAGAACGATTGTCCTTAAAGATAAAACAAACTATATGGGTCTAGATAAAGTTTCCCGATTTTATTATAACATATCGAATGATAGTTTCTATCTACTTCCTTGTACCTTAAATTTTGTTTCCAAAAGAGATGAAAAATGTGAATTTGACTTCTCTTCGATTAGAAAACAAAAAAAAATGGAGAATGCAAGGTGCATCTTGAATAAAATAAAATTTATTGATGCTGATAGATTCCAATCCTTCATTATTTGGAAATTAGAGAGAAGCCCAACTACTTTAGTTTTCACACGAATAATCAAATTTGTTCTCATTAACAAATTGAATCTTATTCAAAAAGCATCTTAAATTTACAAATCTTCATGACCATTGAACCGCAATTGAAGAATCAGAAAAATAATCCTCCTAAAATAAATTGTGTCAAGCAACCCACGTGGCAAGAGAATATTCAATACAACAGTGATACTATGTCAGTATTGATGATATAATATTTATTTATTTATTTTTTCTTTTTTGGGGATGGGGATGGGGAGGGGAGAAGAAGGCTTGAACCCTTAATCTTAAGAAGACAAAGTTTTCACAATACCATAATAAAATCTCAAATGAGTAAAATAAACACTACGTGAGTAATTATTGACTTACATGGAAGGAGAGTAAATAGTTATTTATTTACATCTAGTTATTGACTTGTATGAAATATATTTCTTTATTTATCTGTATATTATTAATTGGTAATACCACGTAACAACGGGACTCCGTATTACCATTGCAATGAATAATTTTTCTCATGTGACTTATGTCATGAAACAACATTCGAGAAACCGTTGGGCTTGAGAGCTGTCCACTCCCGCCAAATACACTCATAAAACAAACTGTCACAAGCTAAGAGAGCCAAACACAGCATTCCCAAAATAAAAAAGCTCAAATTGGTCAATGCTTTTATATGGGTAAAATTGAAACTTGGCCAACTATTAATGCGAGAATTGGGTTTGAGCTATTAATAGTCATTTATCATTATTCTCTAAAACTTCCCACCTCTCTCTCTCCTTCCATTCTACATTTCCTTTTGGGTTTCTCAAGCCCTTTTTTTCCCTTGTGAAACTCCATAGGAAATGCTTGCTGCCTCGATTTAACACATCAGGGTTTCAAGTAAGTTCTATTGGGTTTCTTTCATTTTGTTATTATTAATGCATTATGTTTTGTAGTTGTCATCGATGTTATTTTATATTTTAAACTTGGACCTCGAGATGATAACCTGAAATATAACGAATAAACCGATATATATGGTTTGTGGGTGATTGCATCCATTTAAAAATTATATTTAATAAGCTGAATCGATGCCTGGTTGGGGGCAATTCTTGGTTGGTAAAAAATGGAAATTTTGTCTAATTTGAAATCATGATGAATATACCTTATGATTTGGGTTATTATTATTTTTTTTAAAAACCATTTGATTCAATCAAACCCACAAAATACAAGAAGAAAATAAGCTATCTTGCATTCATGATCTATTTTTATATTAGTGTTTGGCATAATCTCAACAAGTGAAATTAGGGGGAAGAGACTGCCCTAGAAGAAATAATCGATGAAGTTTTATTTCTTGTGGAATACTTCTATTGGAAGTTAATATTTAATGTCACTGAATTGATGACAAATTCAAAGAAAGACAATAAAATTTTTGAAACAGACATCCTAGTTTTAAGGGAAATCATCCAAGGTAACGTTTTCTTCTCTTAGCCATTTTTGGATTCCTAAGGAAATTTGAAATTGGGCCAACACCCATGAATGCAGAATCAACAGTGCTTTAAGGGGTTGAATACATCTGCCAAGGTTTATTTTCCTTGTTTTTTTCGCAAATTGTCAAAATAAACACATATATTTGCTTCTAAATAGGAATTTTTTGGAAATATAAGTTGAAGGATTTTGTTGCATGGGGTTTTTTGTTTACAATTACATGACTTATCTTATTGATTTGTTCTTTAGTTGGTTGTAAACAGGATTGGAAGAAAATGATCAGGCATCTATTTTTTGTTTTTCTGTTCATTCATTCCACTCTAGCACAGAAGGGCCTTGTGAAGCCTCCAGCAAAAAAATGGCCGACTCTGAATGGTAATATATTATTCCCTTTTATTACATTTTTCTTCTCATTTCTTGATCAGAACCATTATTTAGTTCTAACTACATAGAAATGTTTCTCCGTTTCGTTGTAAAAATGCCAGAAATATGCTTGGCATAGAAATGACAGGTTTTATTTAAATGGAAAGAAGAGAAAAAGAGCAGGGTCCTATTAGCTAAAGGTTTCAAAAGGCTTCAGAAAATTATATTATCACAGGCTTCATCGTGAAGAATTACTTTACAGTTAATTGTATGATACTAACTTTATAGATTACAGGCAAAAAGTTTACATTATTTGTATTGTTACCTATTGGTTTTACTTATTTCTCATTTTCATAGTTCAACATAAGAACTGTGGTTACATCTTTCAGTTTTGATGTTCCTGCAGGTGTTGAACCGGTGGTAATAGCGCGTGGTGGATACTCAGGGATGTTCCCTGATTCCAGCCAGTATGCATATAGTTTTGCCAAGGATACAAGCTTGCCCAATACCATTATGTTCTGTGATTTACAGCTTACCAAAGACAGTGTTGGTATCTGCCAGTCAGCATTAACGCTTGACAATTCCACAAATATTCCAGTCGTCTTTCCAAAAGGACAGAAAACTTACAATGTAAATGGGCAAGATATTCGCGGGTGGTTTGCCTTGGACTATACAGCTGATCAGCTATTCAAAAATGTGTTTTGTAAGTCCTAAACCAACCATACTTCTGTTTTTGAATTTCTGTTTTCTGGATCATTATCTTATTTGGTTGATCATGATAGAGAAGAAACAAAAATAAACCGAGATTTTGCAACAATTAGCTGGTTGAATCATCACTGCAAAATTTATCTTCTCTTGTTTCCCTCCATCTTATTGCAGCCAACTCAAACATTTTAGCTCTTCAAATATTTCAAACATATAACTGGCACTAATAAAATAACTGGAAAAAAAAAAAAGCACGAAAACTGAGAAAGAGTGAACAGAGCATAATAATTTTTACATGATTTTTCTATTTAAATGCAGGTGATCTGTGGATAAGTTGTTCCATGAATGAAATTTGAGACACTCATCTTTTGCTTTGTTATGTTGTTCCCATACAGTGACACAAAACATATTCTCAAGAACAAGTATGTTTGATGGTGCTTTTCCACTGTGGACTCCTGATGATGTAGTAGGAACTAAGCCTGCTTCAAAACTTTGGTTGAATATTGAGGTATTGCTCTCTCGTTTCATTTCATATCAGATTTTCTTGCCGATAAACACTCGCAAAGTTATGAATTTCTACCTCATCATATGAATAATATATCATGCATAAGAATTGANTTCAAAACTTTGGTTGAATATTGAGGTATTGCTCTCTCGTTTCATTTCATATCAGATTTTCTTGCCGATAAACACTCTGCAAAGTTATGAATTTCTACCTCATCATATGAATAATATATCATGCATAAGAATTGAATTTTCTCAAAAGAATAACCAAACCAAGCCAGCTGGCTGTTCAATCTCATAGATGTCATCAACCGACAAACCGGAGGGATGTACAACCAGAGTACCAACCTTACCAGCACTGGAGGTGTACTAATCAATGAACCCCGGAAACCTACTTTCTTTTCTAACAAAATCAGTCAAAACTAACCAGTCATGACATTTTTGTTTGTTTCTATTTATTGAGGAGTTTGGAGTTTAGCTGACTAAATCCACAACCTAGAAAATGACTCAATTCATTAGTTTTATGGTTTTGATGTTGCTCCTGCTGTCTGTCGCAGTATGACATGTTCTACACCCAGCACAAGCTCAGCCTGGCACAATATGTTGAAGACTCGATGAAATACATAAATCCAGACTACATTTCATCCCCAGAAATTGGTTTCTTGAAGACCCTTGATGGAAAACTAAAGCAAGCGAAGACAAAGTTCATTTTCCGGTTCCTAGGGGCAGATGCAGTTGAACCTACAACCAAGGAAAAATATGGTTCACTCTTGGGAAAGCTTTCGATGATCAAGTCATTTGCGGCGGGTATTCTTGTTCCAAAAGAATACATATGGCCTGTTACTAAGGACCTTTATTTGCAGCCTGCCACTACTCTTGTAGCTGATGCTCACAAACAAGGTCTTGAAGTATATGCTTCTGGCTTTGCAAATGATGTCATGCTGAGTTACAATTATAGTTATGATCCAACATCTGAGTACCTGCAATTTATCGATAACTCCCAATTCTCCGTTGATGGGGTGCTTACTGATTTCCCTTCTACTGCATCAGAAGCCATTGGTGAGATTCAGCTCTCTCTCTCTCTCTCTCTCTCTCTCTCGATTTGTTTGTTCACATGTTTTGCCAATTTCTCATGTCGGGCAGGAGGAAAACAAGAAAACAATCGAAGGAAAACAACAGAACAAACAAACCAACTACATAATTACCTGTTTATTTCCTGATTTTAACCTCAGTGCTCTTTTTGGTTGCAGCATGCTTAGCTCAGAATAAGAATGCCTCCAGGACTATGAAAGGTATGAAATAATTGTGTGCAAAGTTAAAATATGTACAAAAACTGAAAGGACAAGCTACCATATCACAAAATAAGTGTGTGCCTTTACATGAATAGCTTTGGTCATATCTCACAATGGAGCTAGTGGGGATTACCCTGGCAGCACCGATCTTGCCTATCAGAAAGCCATAGACGATGGGGCTGATATAATTGATTGTTCAGTCCAAATGACAAAAGATGGAGTTTCCTTCTGCTTGGAGACAGCCGACCTTACAGGGAAAACTACTGCAGCAGCTACTTTGATGGACCGATCTGCAATGATCCCTGATATCCAACCAAACCGGGGAATTTTCTCATTTGATGTCACATGGAACGAAATCCAATCTCTAAAGCGTAATCATCCATAAACAAAGCCTTTTTCCACTCTTTGTCTAAACATTTTTAGTCTCTGAAACAATCCCTCATGCTGTGAATCTTGTTCATTTCAGCACAAATTACAAGCCCTGACGTGCAAAGTAGCTTGCAAAGAAACCCTGCAAACAAGAACAAGGGCAAGTTTGTGACTCTTTCTGAATTCCTAGAACTTGCCAAGACTAAGGCAGTTACTGGAGTTTTGATTAATATTGAAGTAAGTTTCTCTTATTCCATGCACACTTACTTTCTCTTTTAGCAATTTAAGCTCACTTGAAGTTATAAATTCCTATAAAATTCAATAAACGAAACTAATTTAACCATATGAAATGTACAGATGCCTGAAGGAGGCTATATACATATCCATAACGTTTCCACCAGACCTTTCTTTATTTTTGTCTAACAATCCATATTTTCTTTCTTAGAATGCTGCCTACCTAGCATCAGAGAAAGGTCTTAGCATCACCGATGCTGTCGCCAGTGCCTTGAGCAATGCCACCTTTGACAAGCAATCCACTCAAAAAGTACTAATCCAATCAGATGACAGTTCAGTCCTAACAAAGTTTAAGGATGTTCCAACTTATCAGAGAGTATTGAACATTAAAGAGCAAATAAGTGATGCACCCAAACAGGTAGCGGAGGAAGTCAAGAAATATGCCGATGCAGTGAATGTCATTAGAAAGTCCATCATTTTAGGCAATTCAATCTACTTTTCGACATCCTTCACCAATGTTACTGAAGAAATGCATGCAGCAAATGTCTCGGTGTATGTCTCATTCCTCAGGAATGAATTTACCTCCCTCGCCTTTGATTACTTCGCGGATCCTTACATTGAGCTTGCTACTTTTATTGCTGGACAAAAAGTTGATGGGGTCATAACTGATAATCCAGCCACGGCCAATGCATATATGAGTAAGTATTGCAACCCCTATACTCTTTTGCTTTGGTTATTTCAATCACCAAATCATCACATATTCCATTATGATTGCTCTTGCTGAAAAATGCATAATTCTCGTTATGTATGCATGTCAGCAAAGCATTCAACATGAGAAACATAAAGACCTCTAAGCACAACGAATAATGGTAAAGGAGCATTGAGAAAATTTAATAATTTTTTTTCGCTTCTTGTTATCGTATGATTTTCTCAATATTAATTGCTTCTCTATAGTAAACGCGCATTGAGAAAATTTAATAATTTTTTTTCGCTTCATTTCCTATAGAGAGCAATTAGTATTGAGAAAATCATAGGATAACAAGATTAATGGACACATAAGGGATGTTAATTGAGCCGACCCTTAGGAGCTTAGATGTGCTTAGGCTCAACCCTAGTTAACTATCATAGGCTCGAGCTTGGCTCGAGTTCGGTTTTCAAGCTTCAATTCTCTCTTAAGCTCGACTCAACTTCTACATCATATACAACAGATCGAGTTCATGCTTATCGAGCCGAACAACACATTGCTTGAGCTACTTTATTCATTGTCTAATAGAAATGAGTTTAAACTAGCTAAAACCGAGTGATTTGGTTCTTCTAACAGCCCTCCCCTCATAGACAATTATTACTTTGATTTTTTCTCAATGGCTCACATGAAATCTACCAATGTTTCAGCTAATAAACATGTTACCTCTTTGGTTCTGCAGGGAGCCCATGTTCTAACATAGATGCCAATATCCCCTATCCAATCTTGCCAATTAAGGCAGGTGATCTTCTGGGGTTGGTTGACCCCCAGGCGCAGCCACCGGCCACAGCACCAAGTCCACCCCTTGAAGTTGCAGATGTCGTTGACCCGCCCCTGCCTGCAGTGGCCACTGTCTCTGAGTCAAACTCCACGTCTTCCCCTCCTGCTCCTGCACCAGCCGGAACAAAATCAAGCAGTCAAAGAACAGCTGTTAACACAAGTCTCTCTATAGCAGCAATTGTGGGGATAATTGGTTTGCTTAGTCTCAAATTATGAAGCTGAAATTTTTTCTGCAACATTATTGAATCTCTAAATCACTTCTGCATTGATCAATGTCATTTTGAACATATGATTTAGTCGATTCATACATGTAATGTATAAAAAAAAAGTGATTGATTCTGTTACTAAGAAGCTTGGGAATGTATTTAAAGTACCTTTTCACAACCTATAGGGATTTTGGCAGAGTGGTTATTGAAAGAAAAGAACATTAATTCCTGGTTGTCTCTACTTTTCAGTCAAGCTATCTATACTTACAGTACTGGCTTTAAACACCTCTTCAAGGTTAGGAAGGAACCAACTTTTGAGGGAAAAGCAATTAAAAGTATAATTTGCTTGTCTCCACACTTATTTTGAGCATCTCTCTCTAATTCATGGTTCCATAGCCATGGAAACAGTCAAGGCCTTGACTCATTTTCAAATATTAGCTACATAAAGGCATTATATTTTTCATTTGATTATTTAATTTTTTAACTTGTGGTAAACATTCAAACTCAGAATGTATATAATTACAAGTATCAGATAAATCAATGATTTTTTACAAGAGACAAGCTTTTAATATGATAACTTCCATATTTTTCCAAAACTTATTAACTTCCAGTCTTCCCATCCCTGCTTGGTGACTTTGTTTCTCTCTGTTTCCTCTGATTCATGATGAAAAGTGAGGCTCTTTTAAATACATATTTCCTTTTGTTTACAACACAGCAAAACAAGGTAAAATGGAAATGCTTAGTTATGTTATTTTTTAAGTCTACTAAGAGCAACTCCAACCAACCGGTTTTTTCAAAGCCAACTGAACCTCCCAACAATCATATTTAGTAATTGTTGTTTTTCCAATGGAGACATTAAATACTTGTGTGGCAAATTAAAATTTAACATTATTCCAAATTTAATATAACCTCTTTGCTATGTTAAATCTTTAAATGCATTATTTTATTTAGTAAAAAAAAATTTAATACAAAAGTTTTCAAACAAATTTAAAAAGAAAAAAAATTAAAGGTAAATAGGTAATAAAATAAATTATTTTAATATATCGGTTAAAATACAATTATATCGAAAGCCACATAAACATTCAAATTCAAATAAGACATCTCAATTTTGATATGCTCTTAGCCCATCTCGAATGGAAACATATTGACTATTGAGTTAAAAAAAAAGAATAAAAAGTTTCTTTTGGTATAGACATCTCCAACCGATACACTCAAATTTAAAGGAATAGAAATATAAGTTTAAATGTAGACAAACCCATATTGAAAAAAAAATAAAATATAACCATTGAATCTTTAAAAAATAGTACAATCTTAACATTAAAAATTTGGATTTAAAAAAGGATTTCCCTTAATTTAGATTTTAAAAAAAAAAAGTTTATGTTCATTTAATATAAGTATGGGTCTAACATAGATACATTTTAGACTATTTTTACCAAAATTTAAATTTGGGTATAAAAAATGTTAGAACCGGAGATGCTCTAATAGCTCCAAGAACTTAAAGGGTGGGATATTCCCACCCTGTAATTTTTTTTTCCTAACTATTTAATCATCTTATTTCAAACTACTAAATATACCCTATCAATACTCACCCTATTAGTTATAAATTCACTCTATTTATACTCATTTAATTAACTATTAAACATGTGTCAAAAAAACCGAAGTAAAAATAGTAATTCAAGCAAATTTCAATATTTTGAAGTGATCTATATATTATTCTAAGGTGTTTTAAAATATTTTAATATATTTTCACTAATGTCTTTTAAATATTTTAAGGTGTTTTAAGATATTTTAGTATATTTTAACTAATATTTTAAAAATAATAATTAATTTTTATTCTATTGTTGAAATTTTTTTTTACCAAAATTATAGTTAAAATAAAATTAAATAAACTAAATTTTTAATTAGTGAATATAAAGGGGTAAATTCAGTAACTAATGAAATGGATATACAAAAAATAAATTTAATAATTTAAAATAAGATAGTTAAATAGAATGAAAAATCAAATTTAAGGTGTAGAAATACCCACACCCGAACTTGAAAGGGATCAGATCAAAAAAAAACCTTAAAAGGGAATCATTGAAGTAGATAGAATTCTTGTTCTTGTTTTAAGAGGCTGTCTGTGGAGTTCTCTTGATCACCTACCATGTATTAAAATATTAAAGTGACACCCGTGGTTTATAAATCAATCCCCGTTCACTAATAGTGGATGATCCACAAAAAAAAAAAAACTATATCAGAAAAGATGTAGGAAAAAAATAGTAATGAAGGTGGAAACAATATTGCCCTTGATTCTCCAACACATACTTGGATTTGCACTTTCTTCATCCCAATCTGATGACAATAATTTTCACTTAATTTTAGGATTTTTTTCAACCCATTTCCAATCTATTGTAATCATCAAACTCTTATCGTTTATAAATGACATTGACCAAATTGCAATTCTAGTTCTTATGTTTTATGATACTAGACCAATATGTTTTAATCAACACA